CAGGGAGAGCACTGTACTGTGAGCCACAGAGGTCCAGGTTGACCACTGCTGTTCTGCCCACTTCCCAGCTGTGTGACTTTGGGCAAGTCCTTTCCCTTCCTCTGAGCTGCAGTCTCCTCACCCTCTCCAGGGCTGCTGTGGGGATGATGAAGTCCAATAGTCAGGAAGGTGGGCTGAGGGCTGCAAATACGGGTGTGTCGGTGCACATGGGAGAGAATGCTTGGTGGGTGCAGGGGGAGAGGGGGAGAGGGAGGCACGTGGGTTCCCCATCTTGGAGACTCCCGCCCCACGGATTTTCCACTGGCACGTCGGCACCCTCTCCCCCAAAATAGGCCCTACGAGCCGTGTGGGACAGAGCCCAGACTGAGGGGACTTTTTTTAGCTGCCCTTTGATTGTCAGCTCTCGAGCGGCCGCTATTTTGAGCCCCAACGCCTGAAGGAGGAGGGCCAAGTGGGGGCTGGGGTCAGCTCAGTGGGCCTGGCTGGCTCCCGGAAGGCATCCCCGAGGGGGCCAGACGTGCCCTCTCTGGCCCAGCTCTGCTGGCAAGGAGAGCACAGCATCTCCTGTGTACTGGGCCTGAGAGCTCAGTTATTCACCTCCAGGGAAGCTGCGGACCTGGCAAAAACCATCCTTGTTTATGACGCTTACCCCACAGGCCATTGGCCTTGGCCATTGAGGGAAGAGCATGTTGTGGGGATTAACTGAGATAACACAAGCAAAGCCCTTACTTAGCACAGGGACTGGCACAAAACTGGCCCTCAAAAATGGGAAGAGCTACTGTTATTATTGTTCTCACAGCTGTTGTCATTCTTGGCTTTGTTGTTAAGGTAACATTTTTATCTAGTTTCCTTCCAGTCTTTTTTCTGTGCATTTATCTTATGTTGCCAAGTTCGGGTCATAAAACTCCTCCCTCCTCCACGCTTGGTTTCAGCAGAAAAGAGCCCCCATGTCTTCTGGGGTACCTCTCTCTGCATCTCTGTCCCCCACTCCCAGGGGTCACCCCTCTATACATGTCCTTTGGGGTCCATGACCTCTGAAGTTTTACTTGACCTTCAAGAGTGTCTGTGGTATACCTACAGCTTCTGTCATCTCCTCAAATGTCATCAACCACTGCCCCACAGGATTCCGGGGTCCTAGAATTGGAAAGTCAAATTTAGGTGCTGGGTCTTCACAAAGCCCTTGCACCTGGACTCTAAGACTCTCTGGCTCGCACCTAAGGAAATGGGCTTATTTCCACAGATTAGATGTGAGAAGGAATTTTCTGGCTGTTCAGGTGCCTAAGATTAGGCAATGGATCACGAGGACAGATGATCCATTTGTCAGCTTCCTGGTCTCTGTGTGTGTTGGATGGGGGTAGGGTGTGGGCTGTCAAGAAAGGATGAGGTAGGAAGAAGCTAGATTCTTGGACGTATCTAAGTAAGGTGAGAAAGGGAGCGTGGCTGAGCCAGGCTTCCTCCTTCCCCACTGGGGTCATTTCCTAGCAGGGCAGCAAGGTCAGCTGGGGTTGGGGGTCATATGATTTCCCCTCACCCCAAGTGGTTACTGCACAAGGTGAGACTTCCTTGTTACCCGAAGGACAAAAATAGATTCCAGGTGATGGCCAGCAATCCGTGCCCAGAACCACCAGGGTTATTCTGAGAGCGGTAGGCACAGGGCCAGCCCAGGCTTGGTCAAGAGTAACTGAGCTGGAAGTGGCAGCCTGTCCTTTTGGGAATCCTGAATGGGATGGGGGCACTGGAGCTATAAGCAGGTCGACAACCCTCAATAAGGGGGCCTAGAATCCTGACTTGGCCATGTGATCTTGGGCAAGCCACTTGTATCTCCTGGCATCAGCTTCCTTCTCAAACGATGGGGACCTTGATCTCTGCTTCTCAGGGTGGTTGAGAGAACCCTGTGAAGCTGACAGATGGTGCTCAATAAATGCATGAATCTCCACTTCAGCTGTTCCAGAATCCAGAGAAGGGACTTCCCTGGCCGTTCAGTTGTTTGGACTCCGTGCTTCCATTACAGGGGGCACAGATTCGATCCCCTGGTCAGGGAACCAAGATCCTGCATGCTATACGGTGTGGCCAAAAAAGAAGAAGACAAAAAAAATCCAGAGAAGATAAGGGCCTTAACTGCATCTAGCCTCACTGAAAAAATGTCCCTTCCCTGCCAATCTGAAGGAACCGGAGTCAGGCATAAAAGCATGTTTCTGCAAGGGCCTGTGGGGATTTTCCAGGAAGACTCCATCCTGCTGGAGAATTCCATTCCCTGGCCCTGCCACGCAGGGCTCCGGCTAAGGAGGGATGCTCTGGCTCATTCCGGTTCTGCCCAGTTCTTGCTCCTCGCCTGCCAAGCCCACATCAGGGTGTCCCACACTGTATTCTCTTGCTGTTTTCTGTGGAGTATGAGGTGCCTGAGGTTCCACGGGGTCCCTCGGAGGCCTGACACAGAACAGTGAGGGGCACACAATTGGTCCCCTCCTGACCCCCACGTCGCCATCCCTTCCTGGGCCCTCCCTTTCCTTCACCCAGCATGTGTTAGCATTTTCCCTGGAGCCAGTACCTGCCCTCAGGGTCACCCTGGATAAACATGGGCAAACGAACACAATGGACACTGATTTGGGGCACAGGTGGCACCTAACACAGCTTGGGGGTATGTGACAAAGGCGGCTGGAGGGGGGAAGTGGAGCCAGCTCGGGACAACTGCCTGGGCAGAAGCTCAGAGGTTTGGGACGTACTGTGATGTTTCCGCGAAACTGGAGAACAGTTTGAGGGAGTCAGATGGGCCCTGAGTCCAAATAGGAGCTGAACTGACCTCATGCATTGTATCTACTTAGCTGGAATTGGACCCCAGTTCCCTTCCCACTCCAGCCTCTCCCCTCCACAGCTACCGCCAAGAAGATTTTCCCTGGGTTTAGCCAGAAACAGGAGGAGTCTTCTCAGGGGAAGTCCCGGCTGGCAAATAGGAATCTCAAGACAAAACAGGGCATTAGACTTGGCCCTGGGGGGCACCCAGCTCAGCACATCACAAGGGATATTCTACCCTCTGGGATATTCCTGCACCCATGAAATGCATTTTCTGCTCACAAAGACTCCTGGGGGAGCAACACTCAGATGTGCTGGGAGCAAAGCTCTTGCTTTGGGACCCCCAGACCCATTCTGCCATTATATTACAATTTCAGCCCAGCACCTGTGCTCTGTCCAGCTTCAGCCACCTCTCTGCCCCTCGTGAGGAGGAACATGTCCCCCCTCCACCCTTAGGCTGGCGCCAAGGTTTATGATCCGGCATGGAAGACACAGAGAGCCACACGGGTGGAAAAAGTTACCCGGTTCTAAATCAGCCAGTCTTTCGATGATCTCATCCCCTTCCCAATATAGTCTCAGTCCCCTCCCCCACGGTGGCCCCTGGCCAATGGTGTTAGTCACGAGGGAGCTGGTGGAAGGGTGGAGGGGTGTGTGTGAGGTCCAGGGTGGGAACAATTTCAACCTGGGGTTTTACTGTGCATACTGTTTTGCAACCTGATTTCCCATCCCCTCCTTTACAGTATTTCCATTTAGTAGTTTCCCGTCAAATAATGAAGATCTTTCATCATTACTTTAGTTTTTCGCCATCACTTTAAAGTCCACCAGGATGGATGTACTAGAATCTCTTTGTCCAGTATGTTGAGGAAGAACATGTCCACGGTGTCCAGTTTCTCTTTCTTAACAAACATCGGGCTATGACCATTTTTGTTCAAACCCTCTTGCACAGTTGCCTAATCTTCCCTCCCTCCCTCTGTCTATTTTTTGTTTTCGATAAATTCTAACAGGTACTGGGGTGAGAGAGCAGGCTTCACTGTGTGTCTGATGAGTTCTGAACTCTCCCTTAAGTCAGAGGTACCAGGCCCAGGGAGGGGATCCAAGACCACTCCAGGGCCACAGGTTCAGTGGAGCAGGGCAGGCTGCTGTCTCTCCTGCTGCTCAAGAGCAGCCCCCACCCCCAGCTTCCACCTGCTCTTGCCTGCCCAGTCCCATAGGCCAGGCTGCCTGGGGATGCAGGGAAAGGCTGTACTTAAGATCTATCCTGTACTATAGCTACACAGCCCCCACCCGAGGCACAAGCAAAGGGCCCCCAAATCCATCCAATTCATGCCTGGCCATGAACTTCCCCCAGCTTCTGCTAGAATGCTTCCATGGACCAACAGCTTACTCCTTCCTCCCAGGCTTTTGGGGAACAGATAGGGCATTTTAAAAAATATCAAATGAGTAGATATTCAACAGAATTGCATGATCTCTTAGCAACTGCACAATATCTGAGGAAGCTTTGGAGAACACCACCAGAGTTTTGAAATTCAACTGTGCATTTATGAACTTTGTGACCTTGGGGACATCATTTTACTACTCCAAGCTCAGTTTTACCATCTGTAAAATGGGTTTATAATACTTGCCTCATATAGTTATGAGATGATAAGGGATTGACTCCTGTGATAATGGAGGCTGAGAAGTCCCACCATCTGCTGTGTGCAAACTGGAGGCTCAGGAAAGCCAATGGTGTGGTTCCAGTTCAAATTCAAAGGTCTATGAACCACAGGTGCCAAGGATGTAAGTCCCAGTCAGAGTCCAAAGGCCTGAGATGTCCAAGGGCAGAAGATCGATGTCCCAGCTTAACAGGGAGCAACTTTCCTCTTCCTTCCACGTTTTTGTTCTATCCCAGGCCATAGTGGATTGGATGATGTCCAGGCTCTTCTTTATTCAGTCTCCTGATTCAAATGCTAATCTCTTCTGGAAATACCCTCAGGGCAGAAGTAAATGAAAAATAAAATGAAAAAATGAAGAAAAAATGTTTTATCAGTTATCATCCCTTAGCCCCACCCAGTTAACACGTAAAACCATCACAGCCATCTATCAGATTCACCAATTACCAAGACTTTGCTTCCTCATTGACTTCATCAATCCTCAGTGTCATTTCTGCTGTATTCTATTTTTACAAGTAAGCTGCTAAGAGCACCCAGGTTCAAGAGGAGGGGAATTGGATCTTACTGCTTGTTGGGAGGAGTGGAAAAGAATTTGTGCTCAACCTTAAAAGTATAGTCAGGGGACTTCCCTGGTGGTTCAGTGGTAAGTCCCATTCCAATGCAGGGGACAAAGTTTTGATCCCTGGTCAGGGAACTAAGATCCCACACGCCCTGTGCCACAACTTCAGAGCCCACGTGCTCACAACTAGGACTGGATGCAGCCATAAATAAATTAAAACAAAAAAACCAATCACAACCAGAAGCAAAAGGTGGAGGGTTCGAGGCTATATCCCAGAGGAGACCAGGGGCCATGGAAGAAGTGACTCCAGCCTTGCAAGATAAGACAAAGACTACTCTCTCTTCTCCGGCTCCTTCCTCTGTGTATGACTGTAGTGCCCCCATACCTGGGGAGGAAGATTCTGCGCTTTCTCCCAAAGGTGATGGGGAGCTGTGGAAGGGTTTGGAGCAGAGGAGTGAAGGGGTCAGATCTGAGTCTGACCAAGATCGCTCTGACTGCTATGTGCTGGGTAGAGTTTATCAGAGAGGGCAGCCGTTGTTTAGGGGTGGAGGAGGATAAAGGTGGTTTGGACCATTCTTGGGGCAGGAATAAACCCCAGAGATGCTCTGGGTGGGGGGCTCGGAGTTGCGGGAGGTTGGCCGTGGGGACTGGCTGAAGGGAGTGGAGATGGGGGTGGGAAGGATTCAAAGGTGTGGGGCAGTCCCCAGAGCAGAACTCCCACACTGGGGGAGACCAGAAAAGGTGGCAGCCACCCTCTCACCTCTCTTGGGATCCCAACAGCCCCTTCCTCAACAGGCAGGGCTGAGTGACCACGGAGAAGTGTCCTTCCCTCCTACCACCTACTCGTTCCAGCCCCCAGGACTTCCAGGGTCTGGAGAGGCTCCCTGAAGGCCCTTCCAGGCTGCAGTTGCCGGAGACCCTGCTCTGCCTGGCGGTGAGTCCCAGGATTTCATTTTCTCTGGAACACTTTCCTCCTACTCCTGCTGCAGCTGACACCAACATGGCCTAATGGTGACACCTAGAGGCAACACCTGCCTCCCATTGCTTGACCACAGCATCCCACAGCGAAGGCCTGTGCCTCCAGGGCTCCAGATGGGTGTTCCCCTCATGCAACCCTGGGATTTAGTGGCCAAGCCACTGGGCAGAGCTCTGAAGCCCAGCTCCTCCATCCTTCCCTGATAAAGCCCAGTGTGGGGTCAGCAAGGTCCCCGGAACCCCAAATCAGCCCATGGATAGCCTCCCCTGCCACAAGCCAAGGAGCAGGTTGGCTTATTGATGACATTTCCCTGTCCCCCCACCCGCTGCTCTGATTTGTTTCAGAGGAAGGGTCATGCCAGCAGCTCAGCATTCACAGAACCAACCTCTCAGCACCTCACCATTTGGGCCCATCCTATGTCCTGAGTCCTGTGTGAGAAGATGCAATGGCCCTCAGCTTTTGTTAGAGCTCTTTTTAGCTAGTTGTTCATTGTCATCTATCCACACTCACAGTCTCTTCTGTGCCTGGATATGCCTCACCCCTCTCCTCACTTCCATGCCACTGCTGACCGTTTTCCTCCTACTTCTCTGGTCTCTTTTTTTCTGGTTCCTCTCCATCTGCTTCTCCCTTAATCATCCATCTATCCACCCATATGCCCCCATCCCTCCTTATCCATTGTACAATCAGCGGGACGGGGGCTAAGTCTGACATTACAGGGATAAGGGTAGGAAGGGAAAAAACAAGGACAGGTACCCAACAGCACCTGGTGGTCACACCGCAGGGAAAGTGGGGGGATTGAGGTGGGACTTTCTGCGTGGCACCCACCCCACCTCTATGCTAATGAAGAGCAAGCCATGTCCTCTCTGAGGTCGCTGCATGGCCTTACCCACTTCTCCGTCCCCAAACATTACCCAAGAGGCTCCTTCTTTCTCACTCAGCCACATTTGACCAGCTCTCCTTCAACCTTCTCTACTCTGGCCCTACTTCTGTGATGTCTCTAGAGCGCATCCCTAGATGCTCTGGACCAACCCCTCTGAGCTCCATTGTGCGCAGTGTCATGGGCAATGCCTGGGCGGCTCTGCCTGCCTGGCCCCAGGGCCACACAAGGTATGTGCAGGTGGACTGGAGAGAGAAGCAGCTTGTGGCAGACATTACCTATCTTCATCTGCTGTAAGGAGAATAGCGGGAAATTGTATACCGCAGATGGGACCCGAATGCACAGTTTTCCAACTGAAACCACACAACTGTTTCAGGACTTAATGAAGCTCAGGTCCTTAACATCTCAGCACAGAAGTAATTCAATGAGAGGTAAAGTGACAAGTAAGCAATAGATTTATTAATATTTTTTGTAAAGAAGTTGCAGGGAAATGGGATGCTAGAAGATGATCATGTCCCAGGTCTCTGGTGAGTTCCTGGGCCTGGCTGCCAAGTGAATGTCCTTGGCTTCCTGCAGGAAAGAAAGCAAAAGTGAGAGCTGGAGAACCACAGTAAAGTGAAAGCAGAGATACATATTCCATAGGCAGAAGGTGAGAGAGTCCTGAAATACGGGGTGGTAAGTTTCTATGGGCAGAGTAATTTCATAGGCTAGTAAGGGGAGGATTATTCCAATTATTTGGGGGAAGAGACAGGGACTTCCAGGGAACCGGGCCACCGCTCCCTTTAAAACCTTTTATTGTTGTTGTTCAGTCACTCAGTCATGTCTGACTCTTTGCAGCCCCATGGGCTGCAGCACACTAGGCCTTCCTGACCCTCACCACCTCCCAGAGTTTGCTCAAACGCATGTCCATTGAGTCAGTGATGCCATCCAACCATCTCATCCTCTGTCACCCCCTTCTCCTCCTGCCCTCAATCTTTCCCAGCATCAGGGTCTTTTTGAATGAGTCAGCGCTTCATTAGCATCACGTGGCCAAAGTATTGGATCTTCAGCTTCAGCATTTTATGGTCTGCCTCAAATTGTCCTGGCGCCACTGTGTGTGTGTGTGTGTGAGAGAGAGAGAGAGAGTCATTTAGCATATGCTAATGTATTACAATGAGCACATAATGAGGCCCAAGGTGTACCAGCGGTAGAATTTTCAGCCATCTTGGACCTAATCGGTTCTGGCTGCTTTTCATCAAGTCCTCAACATCTCAGCTTATGCCCTGCCTCCTTCCCTCTTGTCTCAGTGGGGCAAGTGAGAACTTTCCAGAATCCCAGGAAGGCAGGAAGAGTTAAGATCTGCAATAGAGTGAGCTTTGAAAAGTGCCTCTACAGGCTGCTTCTTCTGAAGGTGAGAGTAAAAATGTTTCCTGGTCTATGGATGTTACCGAACTAAACTGGGTCCACTCACTGGCCACATGGCAAAACCAATTTACTGGTTGGTACTGGGTTGTGGTGACAAAAAGTGCAGCGTTTATTTGCAGGCAAGTTGTGTGGGCAGCTTTCATGCTGTAAAGACCCAAACTCCCCCACAACTTTCAGAGAAGGATTGTTTTTTTTAATTGAAACTCTTTTTTTTTCTTTACTTATTTTTGGCTGCTCTGGGTCTTTGTTGCTGTAGGAAGGCTTCTTGTGGTGGTTTCTCTTATTCCAAAGCATGAGCTCCAAGCATGTGGGGTTCAGTAGCTGTGGTTCCCAAGCTCTAGAGCACAGTCTTAGTAGTTGTGGCACAAGGCCTAGTTGCTCCACAGCATGTGGGATCCTCCCTGACCAGGGAACGACCCCCCGTTCCCAGCATTGGCAGGTGGATTCTTCACCACTGAGCCACCAGGGAAGCCCTAGAGGTTTTTTAAAGGCACCATTTAGGGTGAGAGCAAGTTCCAAAATGATGGGATATTGGAATGTATGGGTTATCTATCATCTTCTTGTCTGAACAACCTACTTCTCCACACCATCCTACCCACCCTGGGCCAAAATTGTGCCATGAGATTTTTCCTGCATTTTCCCTTTCTGAAAGCCCAGCACTGGGACAAGTGCATGGGGCAGTGGACTGGGTTCAATGTGTGCCCTATTGTAGTGTCAGAAAGTTTTCAAGCCTCTGGGCCTGTTTTTATCACGTTACAAAGAAGGAAACAGCTCATTATTTTCACCTTTCTCTCCCTTAAATCTGCTCTTCAAGGCCCAGTTTAACCACCCTTTGTTGTTATTCAGTTGCTAAGATGTGTCGACTCTTTGCGACCCCATGGACTGCCGTACACCAGCCTCCCCTGTCCTTCACCATCTCCGGGAGTTTGCTCAAACCCATGTCCATTGAGTTGGTGATGCCAACCAACCATCTCATCCTCTGTCGTCCCCTTCTCCTGCCTTCAACTTTCCCAGCATTAGGGTCCTTTCCAATTAACCACACTAGCCCACATTAAAATTACCAACCTAATAGTTGTATTTGCATTTTAAGAAGTATCCATCAGAGTGGTCTTTGTGAGCTGTATCAGTCAGAGGCAATGAGATATGGCTCAGTCAGTGGAGGTGGGATCAAGTGGGCTCTTCAAGTAGCTGGCTAGATCTTTCCTAAAGCGGGCTCTGATTTTAAAATTAACAAAGAAGCTGGTTTTACAAGGCCAGTTAAATAATGTGAAGTCCCAGCAAGCCTCAGGCCTGAGTGTGTGGAGACTGTCACAACAAAAGCCTCTCTTTTCCTTCTTGTCAGCTCTCCACACAAGTTAACACTAAGCAAGGACTTCCTGTGTGGCTAGCAGACACCAAATATTGGCGGAGAAAACTTCTTTAGGGTAGCCTTTTTTTTTCCATGTGGAACATTTTTAAAGTCTTTATCACATTTGTTACAGTGTTGCTTCTGTTTCATGTTTTGGATTTTTGGCCCCAAGGCATGTGGGATCTTAGCTCCCCAGGCAGGGATCAAACCTGCATCCTCTGCATTGGGAGGCAGTCTTAACCACCAGACCAGAGAAGTCCCTCTGGTGGACTCTTGAACAAACTAAAATCTTCCATGGCTAGATACAAGTGGTGAAACAAAGGCTGGCCTAATCTAGTACCCTAAGTGAAGTTGCTCAGTCGTGTCTGACTCTGCGGACCCCATGGACTATAGCCTACCGGGCTCCTCTGTCCATGGGATTTTCCAGACAAGGGTACTGGAGTGGGTTGCCATTTCCTTCTCCAGGGGATCTTCCCAACCCAGGGATCGAACCCAAGGACCTTACAAATACAAATGTTCAAAACCAAAAGAAAGCAAATCGCATTTTGCCTCTTTTATTTACAAGTTTCACTTAAATATCTCTCATGGTGAGAAAATCAACGTCAAAAAGAACATTGGTATACGGTTTACGAATATCAGTATATATTAAAGAACATGGTTAATTTTTCCAAGTAAATGCTTGATGTGAAATATTTTCCAGGAGGCTAGTTGAATGTCAGATGTCCGAGGTGTCAGGAAAAGAGCCTCGAGCCTGCTCAGGAGACGGTCACACTGCAGGGCAACTGTGTTTTGCACTTGGTGACACATGTGGCAGCTCAGAGGACAAAGCAGGGCCACCAGCCTTTATTCCTAGTCCCAAAGCCACACCAGGGCTTCCTCTGCGATGAGAGCCACATTCAGAGACAAATGAACCACTGAAAATGTCAAATGAAAAATAGGTCACTAGGGACTGATGGATGAACAAGTCAAGCCAGATCCATTCGGAACATTTTCTTGTCGACCTTTTAAGCCAATCATACTTCTGGGGAAAATGTTAATACTCCTCAAAGTTTACACTTTCATTATAATAAATTAGCTTTAATGTTCCAAATATCATCTCAGAAGACTGTACACATAGCTTGACCTAACATACTAACCTGAACTTAGAACTTCTCTATTCATTTTGATCAATCCCCAGAATCAGCAGAACTGTATTATTTACACATATAACAATACCTAAAGTATGCCAATATTACCAACATTTCTTACCTAAAATAAATATGCCATTTAAAGCACTAATAAAGCATAGTTTATTCAAAAGTGACACCTTAAACAACCTCATTTTTTAGTTCATTTTAGAAGTCTCAATATCAAAATATTTACATACAAGGAATGATAAGTATTTTGGAAGACCTGACAAGTACCACCAACCCCCTCTCAAATCCCACTGTTCATCCTCAAGTGGTAGCCCATGTGCCTCAGGCCAGTGACAGCAGAATGATAGTCAGGGAGTCAGACACACTGGGGTTAACCAGGAGCTGTTCCTCGAAGCATTCATGGCAGAGTTCACAGTGGAAAAAGGGCAGAGAATAAACCAGCCTTTCTTTTCTCTCAATATGCCAATTAGAAAGCAAATCTATTAGGCTAAGAAAAAACACAGACATCTTTGAAGGAACAGGTTGGGAGTCTGTATTCTCTCAGCTATTCCACAAGTTAATCAGGTATATTTACGAGCTCATGAGAGGCTCCAAAACAGGATTCAGACACTCTGTAACCCCAGTAAATGCTCTGAGCGTGTGCCAGGGTTTAGCTGGCATAAAGAATGAGGGATTTCAGACAAGCAGTGTTCAGCTCTAGTAACGAACCTTCATGCAAGCTAAATGATAGGGATTCAGGTTTTATTTTTGAGTTAAGACTTTTCAGAATAAAAGGACAAAGTCTTAAGCACTTAACAGAATTTCTTAGGCAAAGCAATATCACTAAAAGTACAGGGAAACATCCCTAGGCTGTCTCAACACTTGAATGTCCCTTGTCCCGAATGTGAAAGTCATACCTAGCTATTTTGCTTTCCTTTCAGTGGGTGGCTCGAGGGGTGAGATGAGGGGAATCATCAACAGGAAGGTAGTGCAGGAAAATGAAGTCAGTTTTGCAGGATTATATTTGTTTCCATCTAGAGACACACTTCCTGTTTAAATGCTACAGCAATTTCAGAACATGAAATTCATCCCCCTAAAAATAATTTTCAAATAAACACAGACTGTGCAGCCCACAGAAGCTACTACAGGTTACATTGGTTTTTTTGCCTCAACTCCTATACTAAATAAGGCCTAGTTACTGAGGAGTAGCAATGGCCATTTATCCCACTAGTCTATGGGCAAATGTCCCATCTGAAAAAAATCTCCCTCCTCCCTCCTCCCCACTACCCCTGGGGATGTAGCCAGAGAGCCTTGGTTAGCAACTGTTCTCAGGTCCTTCACATTTTTACCTCTCCAGATTCAAGCTGAATCTTAAAAGTCTAGAATCCACTGCATAAGCCAGTCCTGCCTAAACTGTCACGATTACCACATGCAGTCTTGAATTTCCTGCTTCCCTGAAACCGTGTGAAGTGAGAGCATTCTTCCTAGACAGTATTGCACAGTCAGCAGGGTGAGTGAGTTCAGCAGAGCAGAGGGGGAAGGAGCATTTAGAGGAATTAGAAGAATGTTTGAGAAGTATAATCAGAAAGGCTAAGTACTATGAGTAAATCTGTAGAGATTTACTGAACACTGGAGGAAATTTTATTAATGAAGGAAAGGCCAGGAGTTAAGGCTCAGACAGAAGTTACCTCCTAGCATGGCTCAAAGGTTCAAGGGGTGGGACACAGAGGAAGGGCTTGAAAGCTACACAAATTCAGCTGGTCCAGAGGCCTGGCCACCTTCACCCGCAGCTGAAAAACCAAGAAAACTCATTCCAAGCATGCTCGCTCACAGCACGCCTATTTTGCAAGTTTGAGGACTCAATTTTTTTTTTTTTTTTTTGAGGACTCAATGTTAACAAACTAAATCAGAACTATAATGCAGCATTACAAAATGTTTTCACAACTAAAAACACACACACAAGTTAAAATTTTGCATAGAAAAGTGTCCTGTAATATGCTTTGTAAACCTAGGTCTTTAGTAACTTCAGAATAAAAAACAAAAACCTCTCTTCATAATGTAGAAGTCCATGATTACACAGAGAGAATTATCAGTCTGCAGATTTTGCAGCAAGAGCTCAGAAGATCCTGGACTTCTTCATATTCTTAGAATCATAATTAAATTTACCCTTTCCAGGCTCAGGCTGACAGTTTTAACAGTGTCTTTATAAAAGGACTTGGGTTACATGAGCCCAAGACAAGTAGATCATCTCTGTGCTCTACTCTCTCTGCGTAGAAGAGGTGATCAAAACACTCAGGCACATAAAATCACTAGATTTGTTTTTAACCTAAGGCTGTTTTTTCCTCACATTAGTCTATAATTAAGCAAGCTGCATCTATCCGCCTGCCCTTCAACCATAGGGTCTAGAGAGCCAGGTTCAGAGTAAGGGAAAATGTCTCAGAAGAACATTGAAGTTAACCTTGGCAACAGGGTGGGAGACTCTTAACTCCTCTTGGAAGATGCACCAATCGATTCTGAGTTGAAATACACCACGGTGACTGTGATGTCATCCCTGTACATCCTCGCCAAGTCCTCTGGCAACGTCAGCATCGCCGACAGCCGCTCAGGCTCCATCTCCCCGTATTCGTTGTTCCCTATGGCGTATCTGATCAGACGTGTGGCCGCGTTTTGGTCGGCCGCGTGGAGGCCCTGGGCTTTCCTCTGCTGCAACAGGCTCTGCATGAGTCCCAGGTTGGTGGGTCTCTGGGCCAGGTCTGGCTTGTGCTGACCCTCTTCAGCCAGGTGCTCCACCACCAGCCTCACCACATCCTCATTGCCCAGCACGTCCCACAGGCCATCCGAGGCCAGCACGAGGAACTTATCCTGGGGCCTCAGCCTGTGGTAGGTGACCTCTGGCCTGGCTGTCAGGTAAGGTGGGGTGTAGTAGTGTGGGGGGGTGAACTGGTAGATGTTGAGGGCCTCGGTGTCGAAGCCCCGCTCCAGGACACTGCGCTGCAGCTCTTTACTCCACTTCAGCTGGACGTCCCCAAAGGCCCTGCAGGGCATGAGGACACCCAGCAGCCTGTTTTCCATGATGACCGTCCTGTCCTCGGACTGAGGATGCTCCCTTTTCAGCCGTGACAGCTCGGCTGGGTTCCAGGCATTGTGGTCCTGGGTGAGGGGCAGACAAGACCACATGCCATTGTCTTCCTGGACACCAAGGATGGCCCGGCAGTCACCAGCATTTGCCACGTGCAAGTGAACCCCATCAACATGGGCCAGGCAAGCCGTTGCCCCTGAGAAAGCAACCTGGAGTGAAAGGTTCCTGGTCATCTCATCTTCGAGGGGGGCCTGAATCTCTAGCGAGATGTCAGAATCCAGTCTCTGGAAGGAGTACATTAATGCTTCCTCAGTGTTCAGCCCCATTTCCATGTGCAGGTTTAGCAGCTCCTGCCAGTAGACACGGAGGTGATCAAGGTGCACTGACGTGACATCCTTGTAGATACTGTCCCCTGGGTGCTTGAGCCACTGAAGGATGGGCAGCAGGGGCTTCATGCTTTCCATGGCCTCCTCCATTTGCTCCAGAGTCTGCTGGGACATTAGTGACACAGCCACATAGTAGAAGAGCCTCTCGCTCACTGCTTGAGCACATGCGTGGCCACCATGTCCATCGAAGATGCCAAACAGCAGTCCATTGGTCTGCAGGCAGGCAGCTATACCTCCCCGGTCCTCCACTGGGGAATTGGCAGCTAGCTGGTTGCTCTCAAACCGTAACACTGACTCTGGAGCTCTGCTGACAAGGTCAAGAATCTTGTGGGCCGACTCACCAGCTCGCAGGACCTCATTTACCTGCTCGGGGCTGAGCTGCAAGTGGAAGTCCTCTTCCTCCGTTGATGTGTGTCTGTAGGCTTTCCGCAGAGCAATGCTACCACATGCAGTGGCGTTGTCTTTTAGGGTGGCTGGCCCCTGAGGTAAGAGTCTCCATTTTGATTTAATCCTATTTGAGGCATACCTTGAATATAAACGTTGTCCCCCCTGTAATGTGGCAATGGTCTTTCTTGCAGAACTGAGAATCCAGTAGGACACAGTACTTGACATTCTGAAACCGTATAAGCGAATATGTTCCTTCCGCAAAAGGATTCTTTAAATCTGAAAATTCAAGAGGTTAAGGAATTTAATTTTTTAAAAATAATGACTCTGCCAACACTTAATCTCAAAATATTTAAGTCTCCACACATCCCATTATAACATATAAATGCATTTCAGAAAATGGGTTTTTAAACCCTCTGCACTTAAGAGTCACTGAGGGCTTCCCACAATTGTTTCCTTCTTCCCAAATCCTTTTCCTTGTTAGAGTCCAGTGCATAGCTCCCATGTTCCCTCTCCCAGGTAGGCTGTGTTCTTTTAAATATATACAAGCTCTTTCTTGCCCCCTAGCTATCTTGGTAGCTACTCTCAGTCGGATGCCATCCAGCTCTTTAGGCAGGAAGACAGTGGCAGCAAAAAAGACAGAAAAGCCACTGGAGTCAGATCAACTCTAGGCTCCAACTGGTTATGGTAAGTGGAAAAAGTATGTGCTGGGGTACAGGAGACTCTGAAAATGATCAGACACGGCAAAGTGAACCTGGTCATCCTTGCCAACAGCTGCCCAGCCTTGAAGAAATCTTGCATAGAGCACTATGCCATGTTGGGGCTTTCCTGGTGACTCAGACGGTAAAGAATCTGCCTGCAATGCAGGAGACCAGGGTTTGACCCCTGGGTCGGGAAGATCCCCTGGAGAAGGGAATGGGAACCCACCCCAGTATTCCTGCCTGGAGAATTCCATGGACAGAGGAGCCTGGCGGGCTAGAGGAGTCCATGGGGTTGCAAAGAGTCAGACATGACTGAGCAACTAACACTGGCAACTTGTATGCCATGTTGGCCAAAAACTGGTGTCCATCACTATAGTGGCAGTACCACTACTGAATCGGACACAACGTGTGGAAAATAACAGAGTATGCACACTAGCTCTCATTGATCCAGGTGATGAGCAGAAGCATGCTAGGAGAAGAGTGGTGAAAAGTAAATCATGCAAAAATTTTCCTTAATAAAACTGGCCAGAGCTTGTTCTACATATATGTAAAGAACACATGCATGCATGCTCTATAAGTTCAGGAACATGGCTGCCTTATTCACCAGTGGCTTTCCAGTGCCCAGGCCTCAAACACCAGCTAAACACAGCAATTTCAAGAGGTCCCAAAGTACACTTGCTATGACACTAGCGTCTAGCATCAGACACACGACTTCACTTGCCTGAGTTCCAGTCATCCATCTGCGGAATGGGAATACTAGTTTCATAGGGTTTTGTGAGGATTTTAAAGAAATATAACCCTTCAGCTTCAAAAAAAAAAGAGATATTATTAGCAATAATCTTTTATTATTAGGTGTATCACTGAAGATTTAGAAGTTGTTTCCACTATCTCCCTATTTATAAAATACCAAACTGCATTGCCTAACACATCAACATTTCCCCTACTTAAGTTTTAACCTACTTTTTCCTCAAGGCTAGCTAGCATCAGTAGGTCAAAGAGTGTAGACTCATCCTGCCAAATTGATTTCCAAACGGTTCACATCTGCCTCCATAAGGGCATGAAGTAAACCCTACACCTTCAACAGCCTCTGGCGGTATTTTTCCTTAAAAAAAATTTTTTTTTAAGCTGCTCTATTTTACTATTTTCTCTGGAGAACCGGGGGTGGGGGAGTGGGAGGGGGGAGCGTTTTTTCACTCCACGTGTTTTCGGAATCCCGCCCTCCACAAGTTCTTCTGTCGGGAGTAGGGAGAACGCCCGCACTCGAGGACCGCCCGGTCTCCCCAGCCCACCCCGCCGAACTAGGGGCAGGATTGGTCGGACCCGGCGCGAAGAGGGCGCCTCCCTGTGCCCCTCGTCCCCACCTCTAGCCCTGGAGAGAAGCCAGGCAGCGTTGCCCGACGCAAGGCCGTCTGCCACAGACCCGACCCAAACAGTTTCGCGTATCTAACGAAAGCAGGTTCCAAAGTCAAGTCTCTGACCCACAGGCTCATAGATACGAGCGCGGCCTCCGGAATCCACCAAGCCCTATCTCCCTCAAACCCTGGCGCGGCCACGTCCCTGAGTCCCAGCTTCCCAGTCTATAGATAAGGCGAATTAAGTTGAGATGCTGAGCTCCGAGGGCTAAAACAGCTACTGCGGATGTTCCGGCACGCAGCCAAAGGTCCTATGCCAGGCTGCGAGCCCACGTGGCGCGTGCGCGCGAGAAGGGTGACCGTCGCTGTGACCCAGGCTCTTCGCAGTCCGCCGCGGGCCCGCCCCCTCACCTCACTTCACCTCCACTCTCCACCCCATCACCTGAGCCGTGGCCGTGGGCTGGAGCAGACGCGGGGAGGCTAGAGGCTTTCACATCCCGCGCTCGCCCCTTCCCTACCTCGGACCCTCGTCCTCCTCTCACCAGCCCCGAGGCCGCCGTGTCCGTCAGTCAATTTCACGCCCGCAAGCTGTACCACGGCTACCCCTACCCCGGACTCACCTCCCCGAAGGGACCTCTAGTGCTGCTGATCTAGCTGGAGGAGGAAGCATCCTTTTGCCAGCCTTTACTGGTTCATCTGTGGAGGCGGGCCCCTGACGAACAGCCCAATTGTCCAATGGATGAAGAGACTGAGAGGGCGGGCTCCAGATGGGCCAAATCCGGTTCCTCCCCCACTCCCGCCCACCCCAGCCAACCTTTACCCACCCCGCCCTCTGTCTCTGCGGGTAGGCTTGGCCCTGGGCCTTGAGATTAAGCAGTCTTGCGGCTGAGCGCTCCCACTACGTGACACCCTGCCCGTTCTGCACACCTCAAACAGAGCAGCCTCTCCCATTTCTCACTGTTGTTCGTCATACCCCAAGGTTTCCTCTCCATTTCTGTCCTGACCAGTTCAGACCCCTCTCCCAAGCGCCACACCCTTCTATATCCTCTTAGACAATCCCCTTAGACGCCTCCCTCGGAGTCCCTATGTACACCTTAAATGGTGTCTCGAACTCATTTTTTTCTGCTAAACTTGCTCTTCCCCTCCTTCCCTAACCCAGTAATGGCCCCACCACATGCTCAGAGACCCAAGCCCCAAGCATGGGAGTCATTTTGACTCCTCTTCCCTAACCCCCACCCCTCTTCTGTCAGTTATCTGATCCCGTTCTTCATCTCACCTCCAAAATATCCCTCTAATCCAAATATTTGCCTCCAGCTGCTCTACCACTCTATACAATCTTCTTATCTGGTCGCTCCACCCTGACTTCAACTTGGCCCTAGGCACTCTTCCTCTATCCCTGGAGAAGGAAATGGCAACCTCCTCCAGTATTCCTGCCTGGAAAATCCCATGGACAGAGGAGCCTGGTGGGCTACAGTTCATGGGGTCACAAAGAGTCAGACACAGCTGAGCGACTGAGCACACTCTTCCTCTATAGAGAAGGTAAGGTAACCCTTCTACAATTCAAATTGCTACTATAAAGTCTTCATTGACTGCCCACCAACCACTGGGCCTTGAACTGACAATTACATTGGCATGGCCACTGACTGTTATCACAATAGTTAGTGGTTGGTAGATTGAGAAAAGCTGAGAACCAGAACACCAGATACTCCCTCCGTGCCTGTAAAATTCAGGTTATAACCTGCTGCCTTACAGATTGCTTTAATAGAACCTTTCTACTACCTATGGTGGGCTTCCCAGTTTGTTGTTCAGTTGCTCAGTAGTGTCCAACTCTTTGAAACCCCATGGACTGCAGCACATCAGGCTTGCCTAACCTTCACCATCTCCTAGATTTTGCTCAAACTCATGTCCATCTAGTCGGTGATGCTATCCAACCATCTCATCCTCTGTCATCCCCTTCTCCTCTTGCCTCCTTTCCTAGCATCGGGGTCTTTAATAATGAGTCAACTCTTTGCATCAGATGGCCAAGGTATTAAAGCTTCAGCTTCAGCATCAGTCTTTCCAATGAATATTCAGGACTGACTTCCTTTAGGATTGACTTGTTTGATCTTGTTATCCAAGGGACTCTCAAGAGTATTCTCCAACACCACAGTTCGAAAGCATCAGTTCCTCAGTGCTCAGCCTTCTTTATGGTCCAACTCTCATATCCATACATGACTACTGGAAAAACCACAGCTTTAACTAGACGGACCTTTGTTGGCAAAGTGATGTCTCTGCTTTTTAATACGCTGTTCTAGGTTTGTCATAGCTTTTCTTCCAAGGAGCAAGCATCTTTTAATTTCATGGCTGTCACCATCCACAACACTATGGCTGTCACCATCCACAGTGATTTTGGAGCCCAAGAAAATAAGGGTTTTCCAGGTAGGTCAGTGGCAAAGAATCCGCCTGCCAATACAGGAGACATGGCTTTGATCCCTAGGTGGGAAAGATCTCCTGGAGAAGGAAATGGCAACCCACTCTGGTACTTTTGCCTGGGAAAACCCATAGACAGAGGAGCCTGGTGGGCTATGGTCCATGGGGTTGCAAAAAATGGGACTTGACTTAGCAACTAAACAACAACTACCTATGATAAATCAAGTGTAGTCTTCCCTAGAAGCAGAGGAAACTGGGAGATGGCCAGAAAAGGCCACTTAGAACCCTGAAAATGTGGCCTTCTGAGAGGAAGGCACACTGGCTTATCTAGGGAGCCTGGCCAGCCCACCTGGATCCAAGGACATGACTGCCATAAAATGGTTCCTGTCAGACTTGTTGGTGATATGATATTCATACTGCCACTCACCCTTGCCCTTTTTCAGAAGTTCTACCAGTAAGTCAGAATTTGCAATATCTCTCTTCCTGGATATTGAGACAGCTGTTTCCAACTTAAACTAAAAACGACTCCAAAGGATTCCAAATAAATAGATGCAGTTATTATTATTTTTAGGGGCAACACAGTTTCTGGGTGTCTACCATATGTCAGACCCTGGGCCGGTGACTACTGGAGAAACACAGATGGCAGCCCCAACAGCACTTTCCTGAGAAAATTACATCATTCTGCTGTCTGAAACCACTGAGTTTTTCTTAGTTACCACACATACACCACTTCCAAAGTAAAAATCCACTCTTGAGGATTTTGTGT